TTTTCAAAAGTAGGAAAATACCCATGCTGGTCAATCCCAGAGTGACACTTTTACCCAGTTAGCTATACGTGTACACCTATGGGAAAACTGATACCTTCTGCTGGGGGAGGGGGAGGGGGAGGGGAAGGAGGGAGGGGGAAGTGAAAGGGGTCCAGGGGTCCAGGAGAGTCCTGCTCCCAAGGAACACTAGGTTCATATGGAATATTTGGTTTTGCTAGGAGAGTTTTGACTTTCAAAACATATAAAATAATTAAAGTTTTCAGATAAACATTAAGATAAAATAAGTAGACAAGAGAATGCCAGATGCCAAGAAATACTTAAAACACGAGAGCTTCTTCTCAGTACTGCAAAGTCAATCTGTTGTAGCTATAACCTCCAAGCTGAAATAAATCGATGGGAGAAGCTGGTAGGATGCAAAGCTATTTAGCGCAGTATGGTACCTTTAAATCATGGGTCCTCTGACTATCCTAGCTAGACTCTACATCAGAGGCTGCTGCTGGAGCAACTCTGGAGGTGATGAGCAAGGCGCCAGCCTTCCTTGCACTCATAACCCAAGACCATTAACAGTGGACCCAGCATGCGACGCTGGGAGTGGAGAGCACGGCCTTTCTGGGCAAAACCGCAACGGTGGCGGTGAGAAGTTTCTCATTCTTATCGGACAGTCTGTGAAAGCAATCAAGACTACAGGAACCCAGACACTGTCGTCACAAGCATGGCACTGGCCCAGGTTCAATGTTAGAGTCTGGGTTGTGTCTAAGAGATGAGCAATGATTCCTTCTTTCTCTCCTCCTCCCTTCCTTTCTTTCCTTAAAGGATCAATTTATTTTTATTTTAAGTATATTGCTGTTTTGCCTGCATGGATGTCTGTGTGAGGATGTCAGATCCCCTGGAACTGGAGTTACGGGAGGTTGTAAATCACCATGTGAGAGCTGGGAAGAGGACTCTGGTCCTTTGCAAGAGCACTAAGTTCTCTTAACCACTGAGCCATCTTTCCAGCCCCTGAAAAATGAGGTTCCCCCCCCCCAATTACAAAACAGAAAAACAAAACAAACTGAGAAATTAACTCATTATCCAAATTTCTATGACTCAAGAACCTGACTTTAGGCTGGAAAACAGATAAAAAGCTTAAATGTTCAAAATATCTCCTTAATCAAATCCAACTGAAGTTATGCATGCCTTTTTCCTTTTCGTTTTTACTTCTTGACTTGAGTCTGGGGCTTTGGCATGCCAGGCAAGCACTCTAACACTGGGCAGTATCCCTAATCCACAAGTGTTTAAAATAGCTCGCTCTGTGCTAACCCTGATGGGGATTTCTCTATAACATTATTCTCTTGTGAGACCATGTTCACTACAAAGGCCTAATTTGGCAATCATTTTCTTGTGAATAAAACTTAAATCACTGTTAACAGAAGTCAGATACTTCCACGTATTTGAACTCAGTGATAGCTTCATAGGCAAAATTTCTCATCTGTACGTACAAAATACGTGTATGAGTTTGCTGGGTGTACACATTCTCATTGTCTTATGTGTATTTAGAAAGAAAAAAATATATATTTTGGAGCTGGAGATGTGGCTAGACAGTTAAGAGCACTTGGTTGCAAAGGACCTGAGCTCTGTTCCCAGCCCTCACAGGGTGGTTCACAACCTCCTGTAACTCCAGTTCTGGGAGGATACAGTGCCCTCTCCTAACCTCTGCAAGCACTACATGCATGTGGAACACACATCCGTGCAGGAAAAACACCCATACAAAAAATAAATAAATCTTTTTACTTAAAAAAAACTATTTAAAAAGGAATAAGAAGTTTAATAGCAACCCTGATCTAATTTTTAGTAGAGGCACCAGTACAGTCCTGTGCATTGAGAGGGGTTAAAATGTAACACAAGAACAAATGCTAGGTCCTTAAGGCAGCGTTGCAGCACAGACCATTATGAAAGTCACCTTCACCCAGTAGGGCAGGTCACAAGAAGTCTTATGTGTTCAACAGAGAACCTGAGAGAGAACGCAGTTAGGCGTGGTGGCATATGCCAGCATTAAGAAGGCAGAGGCCAGTCTGGTCTACACAGTGATTTCTATGGCATCCAGAGCTACACAGGGAGACCATGTACCAGAGGAGAGATAGCATTCACTCCTCTACCAGAGGTCTGGAGCTCAGATCCCAGCACCCACATGGAAGCTACTCACAGCGCCAAGAACTCTAGCTCCCAGGGATGCCATGGCCCACTCTGGCCTCTGTGGGTACAAACACATACATGCATGCACACATAAATCTTTACAAGTAATTTAACGAGTTGTCCAGAGTTACTGATCTGCTGGAAAATGACATACTGTAGAATAATTAACCTTCCCACTGGCTTCACAGCTCTATCTAACATGGCTTCTCGACATTACTTTGTGTTGAGAGTCCCTATCATATGCAAGCAGCTTCATGACTGTCCCGTCAAGGCACTCTTCTTCCAGAACTCGCTGAAACTAAAAGACATCTAAATTAGACTTATTTAGAAACCTCAGAAGTTAGGGTTGGGGCTTTCAGGTAACACCTACGCTGTTAGACTTGGTGGAAGTGTTTTGTAAACCTCGAGCAAGACAAATCCATGTGCTGCTTGGGAAAGCACCTCTCCTCTCCCATGTGTTAACTTCCCGTGCCTGAACTCAACACTCAAGGAGACGGAGGCCCGAGTACAGTACACAGCACTAACCCAGCAGTGGGGAGCCACAGGCAGGTGGCCTCAGCGAGTTCAAGGCCAGCCTGGTCTACACAGTGAGTTCTAGGACAGCCAAGGCTACACACAGAAACACTGTCTCCAAAAACAAAAACAAAAACAAAAAAACCCCTAAAAAACAAAAAGCAAACAAGCAACAACAGAAACCACTCAAGGAGACAGACAGGAGGGTAGTGAGCTCTAGGCCACCCTGATCCAAATAGTGAGACCCTGCTTCAAAAATAAAACAGCAACCAAGTTTGAAAGGCAAACATTTTTCAGATTTTTACAGTGTGAGCTTTCCATTTTAGAGCAACTTTCTGCAAAATTACAGGCAGATTGATGCCTGTCTTAGCCCCTGTGATGAGGATACAGCTTAGAGGGCCACCCTTACATAAGACCCTATAATTGTTCTTTCAAAACTCAAAGCAACAAATCCTGCTTGGATGTTTTATACGGGCAGGCTTAATTACCTTAGTTGTGTGTTTTTATTAACTTTTAACGATTTCTTCTTAACCATGTGTGTGTATATGCCTGCGTGTATGTATGTGCTCCACGTGCACGCAGGAGCTCAGGAAAGCTCAGTAGGTCTCCTGGAACTGGAGTTGCACGCAGCTGTGAGCAGGCATGTGGTTGCTTGGAACTGAACTTGGGTAGTCTCCGAGAGCAGTAAATACTCTCAAATGTGAGCCAACTCTCGAGCACCTTAGCTTTTACAAGTCCTGATAACGAAGTATTTCAGGCAGCTGAGGGGGAATAAGTAAAAGGCATGGTAATCAGCGTGCTTAAGTTATTTCTAAATGTTTAATATAAGGACATGAAAGACAACCCAGCACTTGGGAGGCTGAGGCTGGCACGTCTTTGTGAGCTCCGTGTGTGCATCCCCTCCTAAAAGAGAACATTTTAAAAACAAATTGCCAAAGTTCCTTCAATTTAAAACAAAAAAGCAACAGGTAGTAAGGTAGTAGCGAGCCGAACCCAGGCACAGCTGCACACATCCATGACTCCCCCACTTAGGAAGCTGAAGCAGGAGGACCTCAAGTTCCTCCTGGGCCACACAGCAAGACTGTTTCCAAAAAACCTAAAGGAGCTCTGTGAGTTCAAGGCCAGCTTAGGCTTCTTAGAGAAACCTTGTCTTAAAAAATAAAATTTTTTTTTTTTTTTTTTTTTTTTTTTTTTTTGGCTGCATTATGGCGACACACCCGTGTGACCTCCACGTCTGAATCAACAGAACAGAGCTGAAGGCAAGTCTGATCTACTTAGACTCCATGACATAATAAATAAATAATAAATAAATTACCCGCATGAAATAAATTGTACACTTAGCATGTAGGCTGTTATCTTCTACCACAGGGAGAAGGCTGCTACTAAGAGCAAAATTCACTGGATTTTCCAGCTTTCAGGTGATGACCTCTCTGCCCTTTGCCCTCTGCCCTCCACTTACAAGTTTGTATTCTCTCCAGGTAGCCCCATGCCCAGCTAGATGGAGAGAGGAAGGACTGCCTTTTCAAACGGCATGAGAGGGAGAGCCGGGTAGTGAGACAGTAAAATTGTTTCTCACCTTCCAGATAACTTAGAGGGACCCTGGACGTGCTTAGGGGAAGATTCACTCTTCACATGAACAAGCAAGTTACATTCGACTATGACTTAATATCATCGAAGCTAATGATCTAAAGACACTTCGCGTTTTAGCCTTCAAAGTTCTAAAATATAATTTCAAAGACATAGGAATGTGTTCCTGTTTCTACAAATGAGTAATGGGTCATGGCCCGGCTTTGGCTTTAATTTTAGGTCTTCAGAGCTAATACCTTGCTTCCTACAGTCTAGACATGACTGGGGGAGGGTGGGGAGATTAATAAGGAGCGTACGGCAGATAAATACCACATTGATGTTTTTGTCAAAGAACTGTGCCAACAAGATCCTATCGGTTGATTACAATGGCGTCTCCTCAGTCCGCTCGAGTCGAGTCTGCGATGTCTAGACAATGAAAGCACCGGCCACCATGCTTTGCAATGTGGCCGTGTCACTGGGACGTGTAAACACACAAGTGTAAACTTTTGCTAAAAACTTTTTTGAAAATTTAGGAATTGTTTCCTTTTGTATTTAACCTTTTAGAACAATTAATTCCACAAGTCAGTTTGAACAATTACTTCTACCAGACATCTTTCTAATGGAGAAAAGAGTCCTGTACTACTTCCAGTCTGTGCCCATTATGACAGCTGACAACATACTGAGTAAGACACTTACAATACAGTGCTGATAGATCCAGAAGTCAGAAAAGCTCGTTAAAATTGCCAGGGTACCTTTTATACATTCTATTTTACTTTATTGTTTACACAAAATCAGAAATTTGGGGTGTTTCTGGCTATTGGAGTAAAACGCACTACAAACCAAAGGGAGAAAGGTTAGTAGAGGAAATGCCCGCTGGCTGCCTGTGAGAAGGGCCTTCATCTCCATCCTGGCTGTTTACCCGCGTCTGCTCCCAGCAGGTCCTTGGTACAGGTGCATGTCAGAATCTCCCAATTTTATAGCTTAAATCACTTAACAGACTTGAGGTTTACATCGGCCTGCTGTTATCAGGATCCAGGCTTAACTTTTGCAAAAAGTTCCAAAATGCATGAAAAACTAAAACACTGAAACTAAAAACACCAAATGGAGCAACCAACAAAGTACTTCAGGTACACTACATGTGTCTGCGCCAGCCACACGGCATCCAGTATCCACGGCATCCAGAATCCACGGCATCCACGGCTGCCTGTTACTGAGATAGCTTTGAATGCTCAAGTTTGACTTCCAGGTACATTTGCCTGTAACAGTCTCTTCCCCATCCCTAGAAATATCAAAGCTATTTGGGGAGAGAAAATGGTTCTGGTAGTAATAAAGGTTCCATTTTCTATTTGTGCTGTTCCAAGGATGATTAAAAAAATAAGAAATTTGCCATTCATATAAAAGAGAAACTTCAAAAGCAAATCCAGTCAGGTAGAGGTACACACGGCATTAAATAATAGAGTCAGATTGTTTTTTGTAGATCCCAGAGGAGCTCGAGAGTAGCGAGTTCTGTTTCTCCAGCATCTTCTCCCCTCCAGTATTCTTACTGGCCTCCCTTTGCTTCTTGCTATGGATCCAGGGGATTAAACAAAGCACAGCGCCGCCAAGAAAGGGAGGGATTCCAGCAAGGTAGAAGGCCACATTATAGGAGCCCAGCTTGTCATGAAGTAACCCTGGAAAGGGAGACAGCAGCTATCACAAGGGGAGAACATGTCTGGCTCCCAGCTCAGTCACGCTGACGGAGGCCCAGCTCAGATAACAGATTTGAAACGTAAACCTTTTGCTGATATGAGAAAGGAAAAAATATCTATCTAAAATGTTACCACAGAACACAAGTCATACCAAAATATTACATGTGGAAAGTATTTGCAGCTAAGCTTTGGCATTCCCAAAGCCCCTCAGAGGCCACCTAGGATATGCAAATGCATGGCTCTTGTCTCAGCTGAGGGTGGGCCAGAGCATCCAGATCCATCGCCTCTAAAATATCTATACCTCCATTAGATCTTATTAGACTTAAACAAGAAGCTACTTTAAACTGTAATACAATACATGAAAAGTTATAAACCCAAGAGTTGGGATAAAAAAGGGAAGAAAAAAAGCAACTGATAGATTATGTGTGTGTATATTCATGCATGTCTGCTGGGTAGTGGTGGCACACACCTACCTTTAATCCCATCACACAGAAGACAGAGAAAGGCAGGCAGATCTCTGAGTTCAAGGCCAGCCTGGTCTATAGAGTAAGTTCCAAGGCAGCCAGGACTACACAGAGAGTTCTAAGATACATGGAAAGACCCTATCTCAAAATAAAAAGAAAGCTCTAAAGTATATGTTTGGTATTTGATGGATCCTTAGGCTCTGCTTCTGGAAAATATTATTTTACTTCTAAATTTTTAAAAGTCTAGGACTCCGAGCTCTCAGTTTCTTTTTTGCTTTGTTTTATGTGTGTGTTTGAACTCTTATTGTGCAATGTCAAATTATCTAAAATATTCAGGGAACATATTGAACTGAACATATAAGCAACTTCATTTAATGCATTGCTAAGGATGTCTCCAGTGACACACCAACGTATGTACATATAAATGAATATGTACACTTATTTTGGATCTAAACATAAAATACACAGCATCTCTAAATATGCAATGTTCCTGTCTTCAGAAACCAAATGTCTCACATTTCATCCTGTGGATACTGACAGACAGGTTTTACTGTAATACTATACTGACCTCTGAGCCACTGAGGAAGTGTGGGTGGTAATTCTCCTGGCAGTTGCTCTGTGTAGCTACAGTAATTTCCTGCACCCTACCCCTTACCCCTGGTCTGTGAGCAGTTACTAAAATGCTTTCATCAATTGCCTGTATGTCCGGGGCCTCCCAAACAAAGCCAAGTGAACAACCTGAGAAGAGAGGAAGGAACGGAGACTTCTACCGCGATGTGGTTCCAGAGATAAGAATGAATTAGGCTGAATTTCCACTGAGCTTCTTATATCAAACACAGATGATTGTATGTAATGGAAATTTTATCCTAATTGTATTGAAAACTGATCTTCCCCCACTAGTGCCCAAGTAAGGCATCACACCATCATTTATAAGGCTCCCAAAGGTAGGATCCACTTAACACGGAGGTAGCCATTTAAAAGTGAACAGTAGGGTGGCACTTAGCTGAACTTACAGTGCTCTGTGACCATTACACGGCTATATTTACTTCCAAACATTCCATCATGCTGAGAAGAAACGCCATCCCTACTGAGTGGCCACTGTCCGACCCTCCCCTTCAGGCTCTGGCAATCACTAATCTGCTCTCTGTGTCTACGGAGATGTCGGCTACTTCATACAAATGGAATCATACAATCTGTGACCTTTTATATTTGGCTTTGGTCACTTAGCATAATGTTTGTGACATCTGTTCACCTGAGAGCATGTATCAGTCAGTGTTCCTATCATATATGTGTCCCTAGCATGTAACAGTCAGTGTCCCTAACATGTAACAGTCAGTGTCCCTGTCATGTATGTGTCCCTGTCATATATGTGTCCCTGTCATGTAACAGTCAGTGTTCCTATCATATATGTGTCCCTAGCATGTATCAGTCAGTGTTCCTATCATATATGTGTCCCTAGCATGTAACAGTGTCCCTAGCATGTAACAGTCGGTGTCCCTGTCATGTATGTGTCCCTGTCATGTATGTGTCCCTGTCATATATGTGTCCCTGTCATGTATGTGTCCCTGTCATGTATCAGTCGGTGTCCCTGTCATGTATGTGTCCCTGTCATGTATGTGTCCCTGTCATATATGTGTCCCTGTCATGTATGTGTCCCTGTCATGTATGTGTCCCTGTCATGTATCAGTCGGTGTCCCTGTCATGTATGTGTCCCTGTCATATATGTGTCCCTGTCATGTAACAGCCGGTGTTCCTATCATATATGTGTCCCTGTCATGTATAAGTGTCACTATCTCATTACTTTTATGTCTGAATAATATTCATCCCTGCCTATCACATGGGTAATATATTTTGTTTGTGTCTACTTTTTGGTTATTGACTGACTGTGGTCAGTCTCATTATGTAGCCCCAGGTGCCCTGGAACTCACCATGGTAGAGTGATGTCTTGAACTTGCAGCTCTTCTCCTACCTCAGCCTCCTGAGTACTGCGATTACAGGTGCGCACCACCATGCCCAATCACATTGTTTTTACATTCATGGACTGCTATGATCCTTCCACTAAATGTAATTTTTCTTCAGCCATTTCTCAGGGGATATGCTTTTTATGTAAAAGTAGTATATGCTTAGAAATCTATCAAAATCTTCATTTTTATGTTTACATTTGTGTAACATATACTAACAGAGCTGAAAAAGTAGAGGCTAAATGCATAGCTCAATGGGAGGGTACATACTTAGTGCATCCCATGCTCAAGTTCAATGTCCAGTACTCCCCAACAAGTAGTATTTGTGGGGACTGTAGCTCAGTAGTAAATGATTGCTTAGCAGGTACAAGGCCCTGGACTTAATAACCGCTTTATTTACCTGCGACTGGAGGACCTACAGTCATGGGAATAGACATGAATCCAAGTAAAAATCCAATTGCTTGGGAGGCATCCTGCGGGCCGACCAGTTCAAAGGCAATGGGAGCCATGATAGAAATGAAGCATCCATCAAAGAGACCCATGATGAGGCAGACAGCAATGAGCCCCACAAAGGCGTTGCACAGGGGGATCATCATGGACATCAGACCGATGAAGAAAAAGGACAGCACCTAGGACAGAAGACTCCATGTCAGCATCGCTCTGAGGACGCTTACTCTCCCTTCCTCGTGATCACATGGGATCAGGTCCCCGAGAGCACCTTGTATTCTCTTACTATTTTCATTAGGGAACAAGTACGTAACCATTTTATACAGCGATTTTCCTTCCCAGCCTACACATTCTTTAGTGTATTCCTTTGCTCTAGATAGTATAAGGGTTGGAGATTTTTGCACCTGGGTCAATGTTGTTAGCCCACATTCACTCATCAAGTCCTTGATGATTTTTTTAATGAAGCCATTACCCTTTGTAATACTGCAGATTGTATGAGAGCACTTAGGTACCAAGGTTCAGAAATCTACTTTGAGCCATCAAACATCTTATGCTTAGGGCAGCTCATTCAACCAAACTCCCTATTTTGCCTTCCACTTAATAAGTATTGTGCTATACAGAGATTTTCACGATGAATGAGGCATGATTCTTCCTCTTAGGTTCTGGAGAGGAGGACATTTAAATAAAAAGTATAAATGAAATGTTTTAGAGGATGCCATCGTCATATATGTAAAACAGAGTGGGCGCAAAAATGGGGAGAGAAGGATCAGTGACGTCTAAGGAAATAATTAACGCTGTCTGACTGGCTGGGTGTGGGGGGATACTCATAGCTAACTCCAGGAAATGGAGGCTGGACAATCGACAGTTTAAGGCCAGCCTGGGCTCTATAGTGAAAGCCTGTCTCAAAACTAAAATAGAGAGACAGACAGGTCAGTGAGTACATGTTCTTGCCACCAAAGCTCAGAACCCAAGTTCCAGGCCCAGGACCCTATGGTAAAAGGAGAGAAACAATTCCTGAAAGTTGTCTTCAGCTCTGGAGAACCCTGAATGAGAAGAAAGTTCATGCGAACAGCTGCTCCCACTGCTATGCTTAGAACTCTGGAAGGACAACGTTATCCCTGTTTTACACGCAGGAAATAGTGATGGGAAAAGTTAAATAACACATTCAAGGCACACAGACAGAGCTAGCCTAGAACTCGTGATCCTCACGAGCAGCTGCTCGGAGGGACAGATGTTCCTGCCGGGTGCCCTCCAGTGACACGGTGGGTCAGCCAGCAGAGATGAGAAACAAGCAGAAGCCGTGGGCATTACTGTGTCTATCTTGTGGTCTCTCTGGGCCCTCCTGGAATGCTTCTGGAAACAGCTGTCCTGATTTGCTTCTCTATTGCTGTGATAAACACCATGACAAAAGCAACCTGGGAGGGAAAGTCCTTCTAGCTTACACTCCAGGTAACACCAATGTGTGCATTTAAAGCTCCTCGACGAGCTACAGAAAAGCAGGAGGCACTGGACCTTCTGGCCCCTAGGTACCGCCAGCTTGACTTAGCACGCTCAGAGCTGGAAAGTTGCAGGCAGTGTGCTATGTGGCTGAGCCCCAAAATCTTCACTAGCTACGGCTCTGAGTCCTGAACCTTCAGGATGGAGAGCTTGGGAAAGGGTGCATGCTAGAAGAATGTGAGATTGTGGGTCTAAGTCTCGAGCTCAGGGGCTTTAAAAGACTGGCTTACACCAGTCTGCACACCAGCCACTTCTGTCTTTCTCTGCGGTCCCCTTTCGGGGACTCAGCGGCTTCATTTCCACTAGATTCCTCTGGATTTGTTGTTATAAGCAGGGCCTTGTTTCCTGTACTAAGAGAAGCCAAGCAGGAGCTCAGGCATGCACCTGGAGGCAGGACCAGAGCTGGGGACGGCTGAATGCTGCTTGCTGGCCTGCTCTCCTCCAGCTTGCTTAGCCCAAGCCCAGCGGCCTAGGTATGGCGCCTCCCACAGGGGACTGGGCCCTCCTGCATCAATCACTAATCAAGAAAATGCGCCACAGGCCATTCTGATGATGGCAATTACCTCAGCTGAGGCCCCTTCTTCCCAGGCAACATCATCGCACCAAACTTGTTAGTGTGTATCCGAGAATGTACTCACAAGCTAGGGGCTACCAGGGTGCACACTGCGGGAGTGGGGTGGGACTCGGGAATGGAAGTCTTCAGGTGGGTAAAATGCCACGTGAGCAGTCAGGCCCTTTGCAGCCTCGTGAACACTGGTGTGCTGAGCAGGTGAAGGGTTAATCAAAAACGCGGACAGTTTCTGAAGACGCCCGAACCTGACCTTCGGAACAGCAGCTGTCAGCTTCAGCAGAAGTTGTCCATGGACACAGCAGTAAGGAACGCACTTGAAAATGGTCACAAGCCAGGTCGGCTACTTCTCCGACACCATTGTGTCATATAGCCGAGTATGTTTTTTCAGCACTAAAATTGGGCTTTATAGTAAAATTATGATTGGTTTAAGACTATGAGCTGGCTGTTTGAAAAAAAATCTGGTACTTCATACTGAAATTTGGGGTGGGAGGGGCTAGTGTGGTGGGTCACTATGTAGTCTTGATGCTATCATAATTGTATATCTAAAGTGTCATGGGTACCAAAATGGCCGAGAATAGATTTTTCTGGCCCTGAACACGCAGTCTTCCTGCCTCCATCTCCAAGGGTGGAGACTGTAGGCACCACCACACCTGGGTCCACACTAACTCTCTGACAGGATAAGGTCTTCCATTTTCCTGTTTTTAAAACGTTGAAAAATCTTTTTTCCCTCTGACCCAGCTTCAGTGAAAGCACAAGTGTAATTTCACAGGCTTGAGTAATGATTGGGCTTGAAGGAACCAGTGTTAAGTAGGAGGCTGGGTCCATCTTAGTTAGGGTTCTATTACAGTGGTGAAACACCATGACCAAAAGCAACGTGGGGAGGAGAGGATTCATTGCAGCTTACAGTTCGTCATCAAAGTCAGAGCAGGAGCTGAAGCACAGGCCATGGAAGGAGCTGCCTACTGCCATGGCTTGCTCAGCCTGCTTTCTTATTCAACCCAGAACCACCAGCCCAGGCGTGGGACGGCTCACATCAATCATTAACCAAGGAAACGCCTGAAAGATGTACCTATAGGTCAAGACACAGGGCATATTCTCAACTGAGAGTCCTCTTCCCTCAATGACCTAGCTTGTATCAAGTCACCAAAACTAAGCAACACAACCAGCCTCTAGCCCTCTAGGACCCTGAACAAGCAGAAGATTTTCTGATGCTCCAGGCAAAAAGGCCAAAATGTCATCAAAATGTGGAAATGGAGATGTCTAAAAGGTATCAAGAGAGCAAAGAGTTAAGGAGATTTTTAATCAAAAGGATAACCATGCTCTGTCACCCTGTGATGCCTCTTCTATATTAAGACGTACTGAGAAAGGGCACCAGAAGCCATAGTTACACTCTTGGACTTCGCATCCCCCAGAAGAGTGGGCTAAATTAAACCTCTAGTCTCTGCTTAAGAAGGGGGAGGCAGAGGTAAAGGGCTGGGGAAGACAAAACCTGCTAGACGTGATTACAGATATATTTTTGTCCTGTCCTTAACTCTGAAAGGAGATAAACATAAACAGCCTTAGAAACATTTGCAATCAGACAAACTCCAGGAAATCTAAACCACCCTAATTAAATCGTGGTTTTTTTGTGCTTGGCCTGACTGAAAAAGACCACGCCATATCTCCCAGGCTGATCTTGAACTCATTCTTAGATGCTTTCATCTCCTGAGTGATAGGGGTCATACATGACAACTGTCATGCCTGGTTCAAATCCAGTGCCCTTGTGGTAAAATCACAGACCAAATTTCCAGCCACCTCACCATAGTTATAAAAGAAATCACTCCCTCCCTCCCTCCCTCCCTCTCCCCCCCCCCCACACACACCTTATTTCTCTTCCTATTTTGTCCCATACTAGTTTCTATCAGGAAAACCAGCTCTGGGGTTTAAACTTGCCACACTGACAGCCAGTGGGTACCTGGCACTTAACAGCCTCATTCAGTATTTGGCACTAACTCAATTTTGCTTAATTGCAAATGTTTCATGGAACAATTAATGCAATGAGATCCAGACACTTTAATTTTAGCAGTTTCCCTGATTTCTCTACTTTTCACCTCCTCAAAACTTTTGTTCTTTATCAGTTTTTCATTTGTTTGCTTGTTTTTTTTTTTTTTTTTTTTTTTTTTGAAGAATCTCTGTTTTGTACCCACCGTAACTACAATAACAAGTTGGTCAGAACATAACTGCTGTGAGGAATAAATGCTTGTCCCTTATGAATTGGAATACCTGGATCACTGCCTCCTCCTGTATCAGACATAAAGACCGCATACTGATCTGTCAGGACCAGAACCCAGTTTGAAGGAGAAATAATTTTCCATTACACAACCTTTTTCTCTTTTCTGGGGAGATAACACAGGCCCAGCCTACTCAAGACATTGGACTCAAGAGGGAAGCTAAGCTACACATGAATAAACATAAGGAATTCTTGGAGGCAGAAATATAACTGGGCACAGTTAAATTCAAATGCTGCCTTTAATACACTTACTCAACATTTCCAGGGTTCTCAGCCTCCAGCCAGGACCTAGGGCAGACAGCAGCTCTGTCCTGTGCACCCTGCTCTGACTGACTGGGACGATGACCTGCGGTCAGGAGAGCAGCATTCGTTCCTACAGTGGCCTCACAGGACATGGACAGAACTGGACACACCACAGTGCCAGTCTAAAGGAGACTGTGGGGCCTCTGATCCCTTATTCAGGCTGGGGTACGGCTAAGTGTTTGGTCACTGTCTTAAAATATTCAGTAAGGTCCACACCTTCATGTAAAGTACTAGCAGTAAGAAGATGAGACAGAGCTCAGTATCACTGAGAGTTCAGTCTCTTTCAACAGAAAAGAACGTTCACACATGAAGAGGGCATGAACACCACCTTTTTTCCTTAATTGTATGTGTAACCCACGAACACATTCCTCTAGCAATTCACATTTTGGAGAATGTCCACAGTAATACACGACAGGTTCCCTTCAATCCTCCGCCCTCAGCCTGTATTGTACTCCAGTCCCGGGCATTTTTGCCCACACATATGTGGGAGCTGTCTCTACACACAGACATGATGTCCATGTGAGGGGCTAGAAGGCGGACAGATGGGAGAGGAATCCTATCTGGGTAATGATGGTGTTGAACATCCAAGACGGCTGGACTCTTCCTCAGCCTCCAGAGCTGAGACAAAAGCCTGGCATCTTAAAAACAAAGACTCGATGGCTTTTTTTCCTCCTCCCTGGAGGGCCCTCAGCTGGTGGACTGGCTTAACAAGTACACAGCAGATCAGGACATGTTTACACAACACTTGTGGGCCAATCAGCCATCAATCATAAATTAGGGAAGGAAGACCCTTCACAAACTTAAAAACCCCAGGCCTGGTTAGAGAGAGAAGTTAGTGGCCCCTAACAGCCACAGGATACACCAAAGTATGTTCTTGACTCTTCACTGGCTTCGCTGAAACAGTCACCTCTTCTGTCACTGAGCAGGTGCTACTGGGCGTCACAGACATCTCTACGTCCGCATGAACAAGCTCAGGCACCAGTCATCGTGCTTCACAACTGTAATCCCAGTACCAGCAAGTCTAAGGCAGGAGGGTTACATACAGTGAGCTTGAGGCTAGCTTGAGCTCCATAGTAAATTGAAGTCTACATAGCAAGGTCCTGCCTCAAAAATAACAAGCTGTCATCACAGCCAACAAGATCAGAAAGGAACCAGAAAACAAGAAGCATAGGACAGCAGCGGCTCTCTCCCACACTTTTATGTCCTTCCCTGTGACTGATCACACACACACATACACGCACACACGCACACACACACACACACACACACACACACACACACACACACACACACCATAAAAACATGCCAATCTTCTCCAGCACAGGAAATCCATCCCTTGGCTCTGAAGCCCTGGATAATTGGCTCTCTCAGCTTCTTCCACACCAGTCTTCCTTGTCCACGTCCAAATGCATCAAGATTTTCCCAGCTACAAAGTGTTCTGGAACTCAGGGGCCTTGTCTATCCAGTTTGTGGCCCTCCCCCTGGGCTCTAGCACCGAAGAAGTATTCAGTTGTTTTGACAATCTGAAAGCCGAAGGGCATCAATACAACAGATATCCACCAGAGGGCACCTTGACATTAGAAAACAAAACTAAATATCTAAATGGTCAGTGTATTTACAAGGAGGTATCATAAAGGACAGAATGATTATCACATAATAAACAAATACTTCCATTGTTGTATGTGACACAGGGTCTCACTCTGAAGCCCAGGCTGGGCTCATGCTTATGGCAACCCTACCTTATAAGTACTGGATTACAGGTGTGAGCTACCATGCCCAGGGGTGATCGTGTGTGTGGGGGGGGGGGGGGGCACAGAACACATGTGGACAGCTTAGAGTATGGTTCTTTCCTTCTACCTTTCCGGTTCTGGGTATGAAACTCAGTTCATCAGGCTTCTCAGGCACACAGCTTTGCTCAGTGAACTACTTTGAAGGCCCTGCATACCTACATGTTGTTTTCAAGACACAGTTTCTCTATGTAGCCATGGCTGTCTTGGAATTCACTACATAGACCAGGCTGGCCTCGAATTCAGATACCTGCCTGCCTCTGCCTTCTGAGTGCTGGGAGTAAGGAGTGTACCACTGTGCCTAGCTTGGCTCTACATGTTAAAAAGGAGTACATAAATAGCAGCAAGGGTCTCGATCTTACTCGCAGCACTGGTGGGAGGAGAATGAAGCATGCTGGGGCAGCATTCACTTCTAGCTGTGTAACAGGCTCTGGCCGTGACTGTCGCCCTGGACCCCACGGCCTGTGTGTGGAAGCAAAGAACTATTCCTTCCTTGAAGGGCCGGGCCAGGACTGGAGATGGTACACGCGGAGCAGGTAGCTCATCAAAGTGTTCGGTAGATGGTGCTTGTCGTTACCTGCAGCCACTAATAGACACCTGTTCCTCGCAGTTTCGTCAAATCCACCCTTCAAGAGTCGGCTCACACAGCCTCCCATGATTTATCTCCAAATCTTCCCCCTACCATCCTTTTGGATAGAGCTGTCTACACTCCCATTTACTAGTCTGTGTCATCACCTCACTCACTAGCTCCTGGTGTAGCTGGCCCTGCTGGCCCAGAAGCACTCCATCCCCAGGGTTCCCACCAACCATGTCACTTCCTTTCAGCACAGGAACGCTTTACCCAAGCTCAACCTGCACGTTTTACAGGCACCACTAGTGTGGCAGAGACAGGGTTTGTCTTCCGTGGATTGACTGAGTTACTGATCTCATGAGCTAATGAAACCAGCTCCACCATTAGCCAAGCAACAGATCTCAGGCACAAACGGCCCCACCTGGCACCTGTTCTCTGTGTCTCTACTGTTTGGTCCCCACGCCTTGGCCTGGACATCAGCAGTTTCCAGCCAGCATCAGCTCAGCCTAGCACTGTCTCTAAAGAACGTCTCAGTTTAGGACACTTTCACCACCCCAGAAAGAAACCATCACCTTTCCCCAAACCCGACACCCGCGGACTTACCTTCCTGATGACTGTCCTACTCTAGAAAATTTAGAAACCATTCTAGAAAATGGAAACCATTCAACATGTGGCCTTTTGTGACTGCCTCTTTACCCCAGTCTCTCCTTCCCATTACCAATCTGACATTTATAAAACCCTGCTCATTTCAGTCCGTCCCTTGCTTAAAACCTCCAATGACTTGGGGGAGACCGAAGAGTAAACTCACGCCTTTCATCTTTCTGTTCACTGTTGGGTTTTTGGAAAGGGAGTGTTTCTCTGTAGCCCCATCTAGGCTGGAACTTGCCCTGTAGAGCAGGCTGGCCTTGAACTTGTGCTGACAGTCTTGCCTCTATGGTGTGAGGATCATAGGCATATCCCACAATGTGTGGGAGCTCATCGTCTTTTGTGTCCATTCCGTCTCTTCCTAACCCGGCCCCTCCCGCTGCCATCCCCCGCTGCCATCCCCCATTCCTCCTTAATGTCAGACAGCCAGCGTCCCCAGCCCATGAGCTTCCCCTGCTTAGCACAGTCTTCTGTTTCTTCCTTTTGTCTGTCTCTCTGCATCCAGCCATCTACCTACCCATTTTTAGAAACCTGCCAGTTTTTGTGATGCTGGGGAAAGATAGGGCCTTGTTCATGTAAGGCAAGCTGTCCGTTCCTGAGTGACGCCGGCTCCTGTCTCTAGACTCTTTAGACCCTCACTCGTGATTCCGATCTTCCCCAAGGGACAGTTATTTCACTGTCCCTTGGTGTGGTGTGGTGTGATACGTACCATCCATGCCCCCACAGCACCTTCAGCTACTAACTCAGGGCCACAGACTGCGTTGAACTCTGCAGCATCTAGCAAGCTACAGAGCTCTGGCATGAAATACCCACTCACCTGCCTGTTGATGGCCAACAGTAACCTTTAATTAGCATCGGTTTAAGCACACTCCATGACACCTAGTAGACACTTTGCAACGAAGCAGCTCAAAAGTTAAAAACATACACCCAAATTTCAAAACAGAGTGTAAATGGCATTAGATCTGTACTTGACTGATAACTCTCCCAAAAATACAGATGTTTGAGGAAACACAACAGGAACAAACATTCTGGTTTAGTAGCGTTGCCTAACAAAACAGAAAAGATTACTATTTGACTGTCAGTCCCTAATATTTAAGACTCAACTTCATAACTGATTACTTTGTATTAAAAACCCGTCTGCAGAGGTTATATTCTAGAAAGCACTTCACACTTTTATAGCATATATGCATATAGTGCATTTGGGCAAGTACACAACCAGGGGCAAGGAACCAGGCCTGCTAGGGAAAGAACGTGAGTGTGTGTCCCTGCAGGGAAGCCTCCGTCTGTGGGGAGGGAGGCCTAGAGTCCCTGCAGGGAGCCTCTGTCTGTGGGGAGGAGAGCCTAGAGTCCCTGCAGGAAGCCTCCGTCTGTGGGGAGGGGAGCCTAGAGTCCCTGCAGGGAAGCCTCCGTCTGTGGGGAGGAAGGCCTAGAGTCCCTGCAGGAAGCCTCCGTCTGTGGGGAGGGGAGCCTAGAGTCCCTGCAGGGAAGCCTCCGTCTGTGGGGAGGAAGGCCTAGAGTCCCTGCAGGGAAGCCTCCGTCTGTGGGGAGGAGAGCCTAGAGTCCCTGCAGGGAAGCCTCCGTCTGTGGGGAGGAGAGCCTAGAGTCCCTGCAGGGAAGCCTCCGTCTGTGGGGAGGAGAGCCTAGAGTCCCTGCAGGGAAGCCTCCGTCTGTGGGGAGGGAGGCCTAGAGTCCCTGCAGGGAAGCCTCCGTCTGTGGGGAGGGGAGCCTACAGTCCCTGCAGGGAAGACTCCGTCTGTGGGAGGAGAGCCTACAGTACCTGCAGGTAAACCTTCTTCATTCCGGGCACGTAGTCTGCGATGCGGCCAAAGAGCAGGCGCCCGACCCCAGAAGTGATGCCAATGCACATGAAGAGGACCTCCTTGTTGCTTTCATCCTGAAACCTCTCCTTCACGTAGTTCATCTGCAGGTGGAGAAAAAGGAAACCACGCTGAACATGGCAGGGACATCTCACAAGGTTTGACACAGGCACCATTAAAGGTCCAGTGTGTTCTGTCTACACTGTCACTCCAATGCCCCTTCAGGACTAACACTTAAAAACTCCCGCTGCAACAATGTTCTAGGAGAACAGAGAAGAACTCTATCTTAATTTAACTTACACCGAAGGGGTTTTGTGAGTGGTGGCGGCACACACCTCTAATCCCAGCCCTGGAAGAAACAGGGCAGGGTTGAGATTGCAAGGGCAGCCTGGGCTACATAGTCCATTCCAGGGAAGCCTAGATAACGCAGCAAGACCTTGACTCAGAAAATCCTATAATTGTTTTTTCAGTAAACAGGTCACATTAACAATGAGCCATTCATCAGATAAGAACAGAGACCTGGAAGACGACTAACGGTCATCTTTGGAGGTTTATCTAATGGGGGACCCTTGAAATAAGTCCCAGAGCTTCCTGAGCGGCACTGCAAGGCTCCTGGGTGGCATGCCAACACATATAGATACACAAAGAGCTTACAGTGGTCAAATCGCTTAGCCCTCCACATCCAAGTACTGTTTCTAACCTATCAACCCTAGGGCTGAGTTACTTTTTCTATCTCAGGGACCGTTGTAAGGTTAAGGAAAGTGTCTACATAGAGAACTAAGAGTTAGGCAGGTCCCAAAGCACCTGCCAAGCATGTGTGATGCCCCAGGTTCAACCACCCCCTCAGAAAAACGACTTGCAGGCAGTTAAGGATCAGATACTATCGCTGGCCATCCTTTTTACAATGAGCTTTTTGAATGCTGGCTGTGTTGAAGTAGAAGATGGGTGACAGGAATAAAGGGTCTTTGCCTCCCCTTAAAGTCCTGTGAAAACAGTGTCCTCAGTTACCTCTGGGCCACATAGCTTGTTTGACTTTCCCATAATGATCCTAGCATCCAGTGGACTTTTATGAGACTGCAAGCAAACTTTCCACCACGCTCCATACCCCAAATACCTAGCGTGGGAGGGGGGGGGGCCTCTTTAGGAGGCAGATCCCTCCTTAAGTTACTTCCTTTTAACTTTCTTTTCTCTGCTTTCCATTTCTTAAAACCCAGTTGTATATTTTTACAACATCTCATCTCTTTTCATTAAAAATTGGCTACTGGGGCTGGAGGAATGGCTGAGCAGTTACGGGTGCTGCCTGCTCTTGCGGAGGACTTGGGTTTGACTTCCAGCACTCACATGGCAGCTCACAGCTGTGTCTAACCCCAGTCCCAGGTGGTTCACCCCCTCTTCTGGCCTCTGTAGGCATGCAGATAGTACACAGACACACATGCAGGCAAGACACCCACACACGTAACAATAACTAAAATGTTTAATTTAAAATGGTAATTTTTCTAACTTCTGTTTTCACGATGCTTCAGAATAACTTTCCTAGGTAGGACTTAAATCTCACAAATCCTGTCTTCAAAAGTTGCTTATTACTGCATTTTATACCCTGTCTGGTATTGAAAGGTCTCCATAATCTGTTACTAATCTATCTTTTTATGTTGATTAACTACTGGTCCTTGGCTCTGAAGTAGAAAATTCAAATGTTTACTGAGCCTGTAAAAAGAGAGGCAGATGTAGGCACACATTCCAGAAGACTGTTACTACCCATGTTGTTGACCCTCCCTCCCCGCCTTGCTTTAAAAAAAAATTAAAATTTAGAAGAAATATGAGATCTGGATGTTGTGTAGAAATGTTGGCACCTAACGTGAATTCCGGTGCCACACAAGCCAAACAGAATATGCTGCAAACTGCATTAGGCCAGCTTTGATCTCAGCCCTAATCCCATCCAGCTCCGCAGGGAAGCGGTGTTCACAGGGTGCACCCTCTTAGGCTCTGCAGCTTCTCGGTATGGCTGAACAGCGTCGTCGTTGGCACCTTCGGTTTTGCATGGGTTCTACCCAGCCTTGTTAAGTTCTCTGGGTATTCTTTTCCACGTCAAACCAACCATCACCCATTTGCCTATTTCAAAGGCACCTCAAGGTCAACGCAGCTCGCACCGCCTGGATTCATCTACTCTTTAATTTGCCCTCCTACATTTTGGCTAACAATACTAATGGCTCACCAACCGCAGTAAAAACCCAGTAACTGACTTAGATTACTGGTTCCTCTCTTCAAATCAGATTGCCGCCAAACTGTAAGATTTTCTGGCTAAGTGATTCATACATATTTCCTTTGGTCTGTGTTCAGATTCTTGTCTCTCCTTACCTGGGCCACTATAGCAAGCTTCTAACACACTTCTTGTTTGAGACCCAGACTCCTAAATCTCCCAAATTCAAGATTAACTCCCTTCTAGGCTGACTTCCTCCTTAGGGTTCATCGCCTTTATACTTAAAGTTCAAACTTCTACTTTGCTAGTGTAGCTGACCTCCAGCTGCCCTTTAGATACACCATACTCACACTGTAACAGCAACTGAGCCCTAAAATGACAGGTCTAAGCTGAGATGCACTGTGAGTACAAACATGCAGAGAACCAGAAGACATCGAGGAGCACAAGGCACGCGAAGAGGCCTGATATTTAGTGCCTGTTACAACGATAATTCAGCTATATAGCTAAGTACTAACTTCATCTCTTTTTTTGCTTTTTTCCTTTACAATAGCCAACAAACTTTTGTGGTTTTAAAGTACAAAGTGGCTTGAACTGTGTTTCCTGATGAATTCACTGATAGTGGCAAGCCCAGTCAACCACTGCCGAACAGACCAGGAACTTCCAGGTAACGCTGAAGGAGCTCACCCTGGAGGAGAATGGCCACTCAAGATAAATGTGCTATGGCCCTGTGTGTCGAAGCATTCTCTAGAACTGAAAGCATCCAGGGGAGCTCTGCCTTCTCCACCCCATGTAAAGGGCAAAGCCAGGGCCTCTGGGTGCCAAGCAAATGGTGTATCCAGCTGCATGGCCAGCTGTCACTGTAGCTTTCACAGAAACACCCTTTAGTACCTGGAAGACTGAATTTATCAGTTGTGCTTTTAAAGAAACTAAGAACACTAGCCTGACAAATTTATATTTCTATCATTCTTTGAGTTTTGTCCCTTTCCCAATCTGTTTTGTAATCTTTATAAGAAATAATACAATGAAATATTTGAGTTTTTTTTTCAAGAGGCTAGATAATATGAGTGTGAATGTGCTAGAAGGTACACAAAATAAGTTCATGACGATGCCAGGATGAAACACACTGTTTTGTACAATGAATACACACTAATAACTTTAAATTGGTGAAACTAAAATCATGCTTTAATTGGAAAGTTAATTCTTTAATAATAAAGGACACTATTTCATCAAATTTGTGTCACTGTCACTTAAATAAAGCCAGAGCATCAGCTTCTAGAACTTACCTCCACATGCTCCATCACAACTTGACAACAAAGGTATGTTTGGTTATTAGGTGAGGGAGCGTGCAGGACAGGTGATCCCGCTCTGCCTGCCTGGTCTCAGAGCCCTCCCTCACTGAGGCTGCAGTACCAGGTAGGTTTGGCTTGAACCTCCAGGGTGACTGCTGTCTGGCTTATGACCTTCTGCCATCTCCCAGCCTCTGGATACCAGCACGTGCTGCTTAATACAAAGCATGGCATGGGGCCAGACTGGTTATTTCTAATACTCATGTAGGCAGAGACAGGAAAATGGGGCAGATACTTTCATATTTAACCTCACTCATTTATTAAACAAACAGCCTACTGTTTATCAGGGGACATTATTTTTAGATCAGTTGTTTAAAATGAACTTCATTGGGACGAAGAGGTGAAATAGATAGAATAGACTTAATCAGTGATGCCAATAAGCAAACCTTCTTTCTGAAAAGGGGTCTCACTATCTGGTGCAACCAGGGTTTCAAGTTTCTAACCCTGCTACCTTCCACACTTGGCCCAAAACAAAAACAAAAACAAAACAAACCCAACAACAACAACACTTATTTATTGTGTGTGCATGTACGGGGGTGTGAACACATAGCACTGCATATGTGTGGAGGTCCGAGGACAACTTTCAATAGTAAGTTGTCTCCTGCCACCATGTGGGTTGTGGGATGGAATTCAGGTCATCAGGCTTGGTGACAAGTCCCTTTATCTGGTGAGTCGTCCCCTGGACTCCACACTGGTTTTTTTCCTGTAGACTTTACCAGAAAGCCTAAGTATCTTTAGGGCAGAAACATATCTTTTCTTGAGATCTCAAGTTTAATTTGGACCTGAATACCTCTGGAAATATCTTGAACATCACCTGCTCATACACATTGTTCCATCACTCAAACAACAGCAGCTTTTGCTGACCACAGAGGTTGTTTTTACAGTGTATGAAACTTACTGTTTGATAGCCAGAGATAAGCGAGAACTCGCGGCCTAGAATATGGGCTCACTCTACATCAGTGTACCAACAGGGCTGCCCACTCCAGTTTCCCTCCCCTTCGCCTGCCACCGCCATCTTAACTGAATGGTGGGCATTTTTCTCATCAGACAATCTACCTTTTTTTTTCCCTGAAGGGGACAATGGCAGCAACCTATGAAAGCCACTCATCTACAGTCATTACACCTCTCCTGCAAGAGATGGGGACAGAGGGCGCCCTCCTCGGAGAAAACACGGTCGAGGGCTTTGGTTCTGAGATTCAGTCAATGAAAGCCATGTACAACCCGGCGGCGCTACAGTGACATACAGAAGTTGCAGATATCTGCAAACACCCATGCCACGGGTCGGAAAGGTCCAAACAATTTCCTTATTTGTGTTGTTTAGCTATTAGACAAGATCACTAGCTATCGCTGACCCCCTACACACACACACACACACACACACACACACACACGCGCGCGCGCACACACACGCGCGCGCACACACGCACTTACACGCACACACGCACACACGCACACACACGCACACACGCGCGCGCACACACACGCGCGCACACACACACGTGTGCACACACGCACACGCACACACACGCACACACACACACATGCATGTAAGGCAGTGAGT